CCCATTGCTCGCTCATGGGCATCCTGGTGTCCACCAGGACTCCCAGGTCTTTCTCCTCAGAGGTACTCAGTTGAACAACGCCCATGGAATGTCTCAGCACTCCTATGGCCTCAGGCAGCTATCTGATGGGGATGGTGATCTCATGAGTCTCCTAATAGGCTTAGGAAGATCTCAGCCTGCACAGAACTGCCAATTCAGCAATCTGAAAGACGTTCCCTTCGTGGACTCCCAGGTCTTTCTCCTCAGAGGTACTCAGTTGAACAACGCCCATGGAATGTCTCAGCACTCCTATGGCCTCAGGCAGCTATCTGATGGGGATGGTGATCTCATGAGTCTCCTAGGAGGCTTAGGAAGATCTCTGCACAGATCACAGCCAATTCAGCAATCTGAAACACATTCCCTTCGTAGGGAAGCAGCTCAACTTGCATCCAGTCAAACCACCGGAAATTCAAATCACCCTCCCTTTGATTAGTCAAGGCAAAGAGGTCAGAAACTGGTGAGGCAGCCCAGGTGGTGGCAGACCAGGGGAAGCATGCAGCACGGACACGCAGGTCTCGATGCCCCCAGAGATATGTCCAACGCCGCTGGAACATATCGTCGGCAAACGGCACCGCGTCGTTGCCCTGTACGTCACGCGTTGACACGTGTGTCAATGTCACACAGGCTGACATGCAGGTGACATGCCACTTCAATACCTTGCCACTCCTGCCTGCTCCTCACCACCCTTCTGGGGGACAAATTGCCACCCCCAGCCCCACCTTGGGTGACAAGAAGTAGGGGATGATGAAGCGTCCAGCACACATGATGTTTTATTATGGCTGGGGCGGCGTTTGGACCGATCACAGCATCTTTTATTTTTCCCCCTGGGACCCCTGCTCTTCCTGGAGAACCCACTCAGCCTCGGGTCACACTATGTCCAGTTTTTGGGATAGACAAGCTGGGTTGCAGGGGTCAGATGAGGAAGCGATTTCCAGGCCGGTACAAGAAAGGGAGGGGAGAGGCAGACTGTGCACAGAAAACATGGAAGGAGGACACGAAATAGAGGAGCCAGCATGGGTGGGGAACACTGACCATGTGAGGCTCGGATAGGCAACAGCACGCAGAGAAGAAGCCCACCCACAGCCATGATCGCAGCAACTGAAAAGCAAACAAAAAAGGCCCAGGATAAGGAATAATCCCACCGCCCTGGCAAGGTGCAAATACATTCACAACATTTTTTATATGCACTTCTTCCTCGTTATTGCGATTATTATTCGGACCTTAACACCGAGGGCTGCAAGACCCTCATGGCACGTGCTATGAAATTGGGGAATTTCAGCTGGGGAAAAACACCCTGGGGAGAGCGTAGAGATCCTGGTCCTGCAAAGCAATTAACCATGTGCTTCCCATACTTGAGGACCACCTTTTAGGATTAATGGGGCCACCCATGTGCTTAAACTTAAGCACCTGCCTTGGAGCAGGGAAAGTGACTTTTTCCACAAGTGTGCGTGCAGCACAGTTACAACTTCCTTGGAAAAAAAAAAGAAAACCAACCCAACCCAACCCAAAAAGCACTGGATGAACGCGAGTCCTGCTTTTCCTGACCCTGGGGCACGTACTCAACTCACACAGCCCCTCCTGGGTCTCCCTGAAAACCATTCTTGAAAACAAACTGCGTCCATCAGATTTTTATAAAGTATAACTCACAACGCCTTGAGCACGTTAAAGAAGCCTATTTAGCCAAAATTAACATTCTTAAATTACGATGCAAAATAACTTCAGGCATGCAATGATTTAAGGAATTATATACTGGATTATGTGCTTACTTCAATTAGAACTGGTGAAGAATGTCTCTCTAAGCCCCCTTTGCATCAGCAAAACAACTTGCTAACACTTTCTAAAGAGTGATGCCAATATTATTTTACTATAACTGACAATATTTTGTATTTTCAATATTTTGTATTTTCATAATGCCCCAGGTTGTACAGCCACACCAATATGGAAGCAGCTCAGCCTCCACTAAACCTCTCCATTGATCCCAGTTAACACCGGAGGTCCAGAACCCAAAAGCAAACAAAGGGAACCCAAGCATTATATATTTTGAGTCAAATTTGCCATTTTCCGGGTTTAACCTCACAAGATTTGAGTGCAGGGAACTGGTACATCCCCAGAAGATCACTTAGCTTACATTTTAGCCAGGAGGCCCTCTTCCCCCAGGCATTTTCTAACAGTCGTTGCCACCAGACCTTCCCACCACCCATCAGCAAGCAAAGTCAAGGCTTTTGAAACCACCCCAAAAAGCCATCAGGCATTTTCTAACAGTCGTTGCCACCAGATCTTCCCACACCCATCAGCAAGCAAAGTCAAGGCTTTCGAAACCACCCCAAAAAGCCACCTCACAAGATTTGAGTGCAGGGAACTGGTACATCCCCAGAAGATCACTTAGCTTACATTTTAGCCAGGAGGCCCTCTTCCCCCAGGCATTTTCTAACAGTCGTTGCCACCAGACCTTCCCACCACCCATCAGCAAGCAAAGTCAAGGCTTTTGAAACCACCCCAAAAAGCCACCACTTCCCTCAAATGAAAATAGTTTGTTGTTTGTTGGAGTCAACATCCTCCGAGGTGCCACATTAGGGGAAAGCTAAAGCTCTTGGAAACAAACTCAAACTGGATTAGCAGACAACAAAAACCACTCTCCAGTCTCAGGAGGGCTTGGAGCTTAGAGGAAATGAATGGACAACTTGGCCTGAAGAGTCAGGATGGAGGAAAATTTCTTGATTTGACAAATAAACTTCATAATATAAAAATCCCCAGGCAAATTAAACTGGAGGTTAAGCTCCAGCAAACCTGCTGGGCCCCCGTGGCCATGGCCTTTGGGTGCTGATGGTTTCCAGGAGGGGCAGGGTTTCCCCTCCCCTGGCTTCACACGGGGCTTTTGAGGTCTAGAAACAGAGGAGCTGAAAGCAAACCCTTTCCAGACAAGATCTAATGATGTGGCAAGAGAAGAGATTGCCACTCAATGAAATATGCCCTGGCCTCTCTGGGGGTTCCAGAAAGATGACCTGTATCAGGGAGCAGTCAGAGTCAAACCAAGCACTGTCCACATCAAAATTATCTGCAAAATCTCCTCCAGCCTCACTGAATCAACCAGCAGGCTGTGGGGAGAGCTTGTGGGGGCTGCCCCTGACTTCAGCGGGTGGTCAGGAGCCCCTCCAGTCTGCTGCAGGTCAACAGATGCCACCTCAACCCAACGGTGAAGGATATTGAAGAAACACCTGCAGTGTTAAAGCTCCTTTGCTGGGAAATAAGGAGGTGCCGAGGCAGCAGTGTCTCCGAAAAGTCAAGCTGGCTTGAAACAAGGTGTGACTTCTGCTTTGAGCCCTGGCTAGAAGGAAAAGGGCTGCAGATGGGCAGAGACAACGCAGAGGAACCTGGAGCTGCAGTGGCATCTCTTGGACCTCCATGGCCTGCTGGCACTGTCCCCCTTCTTGGCTAGATCAATTCTACCACTTTCAAGTTATCTCAGGCACACAAAGCTGACGCTCCTCCAGTTCTAGCAAAGGTGACCCCCACAATGCCTACGTGGTTTGCAAACTCAACTTGGCCAGAGAGCCAAAACTTTAATAAACCTGTGCTAAGGAGGGCTTATCAACACCCTTGGCATCGTTTCAAAGCCTGGACTGCATGCTTTTGTTAATGAAATGTATATATATGTGATGGGCCCCAACAACTGTGCCTGCAATCAACGTAATTAATTCACCACATGTCTGCAGATGATCTGGAGAGCATTTTGGAATTAAGCTCCATTTCTAGTGGCTAGATAAATCTCAGAGAGGCTCTGCCGTATATAGCTGCGGCTTTTAAGAGTTGTAAGATGAAGACTTGGGAGTCATGATAAATGAAAGCCTCATTTGTTGCTTTTAATAAGCTGCTCTAATGGGATGTTCTTCGGAGGCTTGCAATTAAGAGACTGAAATACTTGAGGGTGCCTGGGAAAGATTTTTCTAATCCTTCATGCAGCCTTGAGTGATGGCAATGATTGCTTCCTGCATCTCCAGGTCAGGAGGCCAGCACTACAGCTAGCACCTCGTGAGTCAACGTGGTGCTTCAAACATCAGAGGAGCTGCACTGCACACCTTGAGCTGCTTGGAAGGACTAGGCCCAGAACTATATGAATGTTTTAAGGAGTCGCCTCCTCTTCCTGCTGAGCTATATCTAGCTCACACGTCAACCAAGGGAGGTTCAGGTTGGATATTAGGAAAAATTTTGACACGGAAAGGCTTATCAAGCCTTGGAATGGGCTGCCCAGGGAAGGGGTTGAGGCACCATCCCTGGAGGTGTTCAAAAGAAGGGCTGACATAGTGCTCAGAGACATGGTTTAGTGATGGGGCTTTTTTGTCAGAGTTAGGTTGATGGTTGGACTAGATGATCTTGAAGGTCCCTTCCAACCTAGACCATTCTATGATTCTCTGCACTGTTGGGAGAACAGCTGAGAATGCAGAAGCCCAAGCAGACAACAGCCGTGCAACCACTATGGGGAAGGAGAGCAACACTTCCAGGGAAAGGAACTTGGAAAGACCTCTGGCATCATCCTTTGCTATGTCTAAGCCCTAAAGTACTAAGAAAGCCTAAGAAAGGCAGCCTTTTTTCTAGGTAAAAGGCCAAGTGCTGCAAAACACCATGCCCCCAGGAGAGGTCATGCTTCCTATTTCTAGCATCCAAAGGAAGGCATCCACATATTCAGATGCGCAGAGGGACAACAATCTGACTTTCTTCTTCCTCCACCCACCCCACAGTCAAGAGAAGACACTGTAGAATCATAGAATCATTCAGGTTGGAAGAGACCCTTGGGATCATCGAGTCCAACCATCTACCCTACTCTACAAAGTCCTCCCCTACACCATGTCCCTCAGCACTGCATCTAAACGGCCCTTAAACACAGCCAGGGATGGTGACTCCACCCCCTCCCTGGGCAGCCTGTTCCAATGCCCGACCACTCTTTCAGTGAAAAATTCTTTCCTAATGTTTAGTCTAAACCTACCCTGTTGGAGTTCCCCTCCCCTGGCTTCACACGGGGCTTTTGAGGTCTAGAAACAGAGGAGCTGAAAGCAAACCCTTTCCAGACAAGATCTAATGATGTGGCAAGAGAAGAGATTGCCACTCAATGAAATATGCCCTGGCCTCTCTGGGGGTTCCAGAAAGATGACCTGTATCAGGGAGCAGTCAGAGTCAAACCAAGCACTGTCCACATCAAAATTATCTGCAAAATCTCCTCCAGCCTCACTGAATCAACCAGCAGGCTGTGGGGAGAGCTTGTGGGGGCTGCCCCTGACTTCAGCGGGTGGTCAGGAGCCCCTCCAGTCTGCTGCAGGTCAACAGATGCCACCTCAACCCAACAGTGAAGGATATTGAAGAAACACCTGCAGTGTTAAAGCTCCTTTGCTGGGAAATAAGGAGGTGCCGAGGCAGCAGTGTCTCCGAAAAGTCAAGCTGGCTTGAAACAAGGTGTGACTTCTGCTTTGAGCCCTGGCTTCAAGGAAAAGGGCTGCAGATGGGCAGAGACAACGCAGAGGAACCTGGAGCTGCAGTGGCATCTCTTGGACCTCCATGGCCTGCTGGCACTGTCCCCCTTCTTGGCTAGATCAATTCTACCACTTTCAAGTTATCTCAGGCACACAAAGCTGACGCTCCTCCAGTTCTAGCAAAGGTGACCCCCACAATGCCTACGTGGTTTGCAAACTCAACTTGGCCAGAGAGCCAAAACTTTAATAAACCTGTGCTAAGGAGGGCTTATCAACACCCTTGGCATCGTTTCAAAGCCTGGACTGCATGCTTTTGTTAATGAAATGTATATATATGTGATGGGCCCCAACAACTGTGCCTGCAATCAACGTAATTAATTCACCACATGTCTGCAGATGATCTGGAGAGCATTTTGGAATTAAGCTCCATTTCTAGTGGCTAGATAAATCTCAGAGAGGCTCTGCCGTATATAGCTGCGGCTTTTAAGAGTTGTAAGATGAAGACTTGGGAGTCATGATAAATGAAAGCCTCATTTGTTGCTTTTAATAAGCTGCTCTAATGGGATGTTCTTCGGAGGCTTGCAATTAAGAGACTGAAATACTTGAGGGTGCCTGGGAAAGATTTTTCTAATCCTT